CGCGGAGGCTCTGAAGGGACGGGTCAAGCGTGTCCCTGCCTCTCGCTTGTGCTTTGGCAGGGAGACCAGCTAGTCCCCACTCACGGGAGGTACCTGCCGGCCGTGACGTCTCCGTCCGACTGAGCCAGGTTCCTCCTCTGTGGGTGTGAACACGCAGCGTCCTAGGACCGTGTGAGCACGACCCGAGGGAGCGTGGCGAGGGCTCCACGGACAGGGCTCAGGGAGCCGGTGTCAGGTTTAGTTCCCGGCGGTTTTTCCATCTCTTCGCTCCCTGTGCTTCCAAAGCACTAAACAGTATCCACCCAACGATACAGCCCCGCTGCAACTGCCAGGGAGCGCTAGCGAGAGTTCTCTCCCAGCACCCGCCTCTTCCCGGCGCTGGCTAATTTGTAACTTGTGGAGGAGCCGCCCTGGCACCGGGACCTCTCCGGTCCTTCGTTAGTCGTGTTACTGTATATGTTTTCAAGAGAGACTTTGTAACAGGTGATAACAGTGTATGTTTGTAAATCCAAATAGTATAAAACTGAAAATGGAGACCAGCAGGCGTAATGGTTATGTCGCTGGACTCCCACATAGTACACTGTGGTTCGAGTCCCAGACCCACAGTTCAGAACTCACGCTTGGCTTGTGTGCCCCGGTTCCCAAAATCCCAAGAGGAGAATGGAGAAGAAGCGATTGCAGTGTGGCCATCCCCCTGGGGGGATGATTTCTCGCTGTTTCTCTGTCATTGGGTTTCTGGCGGACTCACGCACCCTATAGCAAAAACGTCTATAAATAATAATAATAATAATAAAGGGACCAACAGCATAATGGCTATGTCGCTGGACTCCCATGCAGTTGACCGCGGTTCGAGTCCTGGACCTGGTGGCTTAAATTCACGCCAGGTGCGTGTGCGCCCAATATTCCGAGAGGAGAACGAAGGAGAAGGGATTGCAGCATCGCCATCCTCCCTGGGGGGCGATTTCTCGCTGTCTCTCTGCCTTTCTAGTGAGTGCACATGCCCTATAGCAAAAACCTCTCCAAAAATAATAAATAAATAAAATAATTAAAACTAAAATATAAGTCTACCTCCTACTATTTCCCAAGCCCAAGTGATTTCTTTCTTTCTTTTTAAAAATTATTTTATTTATCGGGGCTAGCAAGTGGTGTGGTTGTGGAGGGCGCTGGACTCCCACATGGCTGACCGCTGTTTGAGTTCCTGAACTGGTGGCTGGCTTTCTCGCTTTCTCTCTCTCTCTCTCTCTCTCTTTCACTCTGTCCCTCTTAATTTATTTATTTTTATTTTAAATATTTTATTTGACTTTATTAATTGTTATTTTCCAGTTTGATCAGAGAGTGAGAGAGAGGGAAAGTGAGAAAGCAAGCCACCAGGTTCAGGACTTGAACTGTGGTCAACCATGTGGGATCCCAGCGCCTTTAACCACCATACCATTTGCTGGCCCTATTTATTTATTTTAATTTGACCATGTGGGAGTCCAGCGCCCTCAACCACCAAGCCACCTGCTGACCCCAACCCAAGTCATTTCTGAGACAATAGGGGTAGTCCCTATGTGTGCTTCTTTCTTTTCTTTTTTTCCTTAGGCTTTTGTCATAGAGTGTGTGGGTTAGCACAGAGAGAGAGAGGGAAAGTGAGAAATCACCCCCTGGGGGGATGACTGCCACAATCCCTTCTCCTCTATTCTCTTATCGGGATCTTGGGAACACACGCACATGCACCTGGCATGAGTTTTAAGTCACCAGGTCTGAGACTCAAATTCACGCACGCGCCGACACACACACACACACACACACACACACACGCCCTGAGACTTCCCAGCTGTGGAGCTGGGACTCAGCGCAACCACTACGCCACCTGTCGGCCCCCTTTTTTTTCTTTTTAAACTGAGTAGCATATTACATTTTAAGAGCTGCACCTTTTTCCCATATGTGTATGTATGTTTCTATATATATATATATAAATTATATATTTAAGTTTATGTATTTATTTATTGAGAGAAACAGGCACCCTCGACAGGCTTCACACTTGGATCCTGCCCCACAGCACTGCAGCCAGCCAGGATCATAGATGTGCCACATGTGCCGAGACACAGGTCCTTATCATGTGACCTTCACGCTGAGGAGCACTGGCTCCCTACTGTCTGCACCACCAGTGGCTGGGCTTTCACAGTATGTCTCAATACTAGTTCACTATTTAAATGTTTTTTAAAGAATAATTTTTATTTAGTATTACTACTTTATAACTTGACCAGAGAGACAGAGAAAGAGAGAAAGGGAAGGGGAGAAGGCAAGCCACCAGGTCCAGGACACGAACTGCAGCCAGCCATGTGGGAATCCAGCACCCCAACCACCATGCCAACTGCCAGGCCTGATACTTACTCATTATTAATACCTATAGCTCCATCTTGATTGTGGCTAGTATTATAGCGTACCAATATTGTATAGTTACACCATAATTTGTTTAGTCAGTTCTTCATGGATGAGCCTTTAAGCTTTCTGATCATGTGCAGTTATGACAGCCTTGCAACAAGTATTCCTGTACATCGTGCATGTGTAAGAACATAAGTCAGGAAAGGTGTTTTGTTTTGTTTTGCTTTTGAGAGATTTTTGTATAGGGTGCTTGTGCCCAGTGAAAAGACAGAGGACACAGACAAAAAGCAAGAAATCACCCCCTAGGGGGATGGCCACACCACAGTCCCTCCTCCTCCATTCTCCTTTTGGGATTTTGGGCATGTGTGCACACGCACCTGGCATGAGTTTCAAGCTGCCAGGTCCAGGACTCAGACCATAGTCAGCCTCATGGGAGTCCAGCGCCTTAAGAACTATGCCATTTACCAGCCTTGTTCTTTTTTCTCTTTCTTTTTTTTCTTTCTTTCTTTTTTTTTTTTTTTTTTTTTAAATAGCTAGGGGGAGTATACACTTGCCAGAGAGTGAGAAGGGGAGAAAGAGGAAGCAACCCCCAGGGGGGGCATGGTCATGCCACACTCCTTTGTCCTCCATTTCTCCATCTTGTTGGCATTTGGGGCCGTCATGCTCACGTGCTCCACGTGTTTTTCAAGCCACCCATGCTGGAATTCTACCCATGGTTAGCTATGTGGGATCCAGCTCCCTTAACAAATCAGGCTGTGTGGCTGGCTCCTTCCTGAAGTCATGGGCATGTACAGCTAAGCAAGCTGTGTATGTTACATTTATTTAATTTATAGCCCTTCAGAGAGAATGTTGCAGTTGACTTTCCCAAGAACATAGAATGCCTGTTTCTTCATATCCTCTTGGACACAATGAGAGCATTCATTTTTGCTGTTGTTTTTGCTAAAGGGGCATGGACACTCAGGGGGTGGAGGGGGCTGGGAAATCACCCTCCCCTCCTAAAAAATGCGTTTCTGCATATGTCTAAAAGTCACATGTTTTCTCAGACTGGCTGCTCTCCATATATGGCTACTCTGCAGTTTCTTCTCTTCCATCCTCCTCTCAAGATTTTGGGCACACAGGCAAATGCACCCAGCCTGATTTCCAAGCCACCAGGTTCTAGACTTGAACTGAGAAATTGGCCCTGTGAAATCCAGCACCTTAATCTCCACACCACCTGCTGGCCCAGCACAATGATAGCATTCCTTTTTTGTTATTTTACCAAGATTTTATTTTGTTTACCAATATATTATGTTGCCTCTCACTTATTATAAGGTTGATTCTCTTTTCACACATTTAACATAATTTTTCTGGGGCTGAGTGGTAGTATAACAGTAAAATACATTGCTCTGCAAGGAAGACCCACATGGAAAGGTTGCCAGGTCCTGGCTGGAGACCTCTTTCAGTACACAGGGCTGGCAGAAGCTAGGGAGGCTTGTGGTGGTGTGACCCTGTCAAAGGTGCTGTATCCGTTTCTGCCTCTCTCACTTATGAAATAAAGAAATTAAAGAAATGTTTTAAAATCATTTTTTTAAGAATTATTTTTTACTTGGGACCAGCAGTTAGCGTAATGGCTATGTCGCTGGACTCCCACGTAGTCGACCACGGTTTGCGTCCCGGACCCGGTGGCTTAGAACTCACGCCAGGTGCGTGTGTGTGCGTGCCCAAGATCCTGAGAGGAGAATGGAGGAGAAGGGATTGCGGCGTGGCCATCCCCCCTGGGGGATGATTTCTCGCTTTCTGTCTCTATGTCTCTCTCTCTCTGTCTGGCGAGCCCACGCGCCCTATAGCGAAAACCTCTCCAAAAAAAAAAAAAGAATTATTTTTTACTCAACATTTATTTATTTAAATTTGACGAGAGAGGGACAAAGTGAGAGAGCAAGAGCGAGAGAGAGAAAGTAGGGGAGCCAGTAGGTAGCATGCTGTAAGTTAAGATACTGAACTACCACATGGCTGACTGTGGTTCGTGTCCTGGCCCTGGTGGCTTGGGGATCATGCTGGGTGCGTGTGTGTGTGTGTGTGTGCCCAAGATCCCGAGAGGAGAATGGAGGAGAAGGGATTGCAGTGTGGCCATCCCCAGTGGGGGGCGATTTCTCGCTTTCTGTTGCTCTGTCTCTTTTTCTGGTGAGCGCACGTGCCCTATAGCAAAAACCTCTAAAAATTTTTTTAAAAAGAAAAACATAACTGCCATACTATTTTCCAGCCACAGGCTCTGAGACTCTAACACATAGTTGGCCTCATAGGATCCGGCTGCCATATCCACCAGGCCACAGAGCCCTTCCAGCTTCTTTATTTCCACCTGAAGAGCAGCTGTTCGGCTTTAGAGCTAACTAATGTGAAGTTCAAATGAAGTAATAAACATGAAAGCATTTTTTCAACAACATATTCTAAATCTGTAATGCATTATGATTAAGAAGAGTGAGCGCTTGACCAAGTGTATAGCATGGCTGTAGGTGTTCTTGGCAACCCCACAGTTAATGACCTTAGCACTGTTTTACCCTCTCGCAGGTGGATGTACAGAACAACCATTTCCATGATGATTTCTGTCAAATATTTCTCAAATAATTGTGAAAGACTTAGACTCCCATTCTCTCTGCTTCCTGAGAGAAAAGAATCATCCTATCTTTTTAAATATAACTTTAATGTTTATTCTTGGTTTACTTGTAGTCTGCCAAGATCTCCGCTTAGGGCCTTGAGAACCTCCTCTGACTGTGGAACATTAGGCAGGATCTTTGCCATTGGCTGGGTGAGAAGGAGGAGGCAGAATGTCTGGATTGTTACACCACAGAGTTCAAACTTCAGAACACTGTGGGTTAAGCAGTATCATTTACTCTGCAAATGATTAAATTGTTACCTGTCCTTTCTGATCATCACACGCTAATGAAACACCTTTTAGGTCTTATGAATGCAGGCTGCGCTGTTTCCCAGATGCCCTGGCACCTGGTACAGGTAGGACTGGTAGGTTTTGCGGGGGATGGTGGAAGGAAAAGTACTCACCCCTCCAGTTCTCCAGTCCGCGCTGAAGTTAAACATCTGTGCATGAAAAGATTACGATTAACTAGCCTCCGTGGCTGTATAGAACAGGGTCGAACCTGGAGAAATGCTTTGGATGTCACGTCAGGACTTTAAAATATATAGAGAGAGATGAAAAGCACAGTTCCTTCCACTTTTATTTTGTTTGTGGGTTTAAACTGATGTTGTTTTTGTGGTACACTTGAAAAAGGTGGATAGCTTCTTTGTATTTCACTTTCTGTACTCAGTACCATAAATGGTTTTAATTTTGTCTGTCTATGAGTGTGCTCCTGCTGATGGTCTTACTACCTTTTCTAGGGTCTGTGAAAAATGGAACCAAACTCTCTGAGGACTAAAGTCCCAGCTTTCTTATCTGACTTGGGAAAGGCCACATTGAGGGGAATCAGAAAGTGTCCTCGATGCGGCACATACAACGGAACCCGGGGACTGAGCTGTAAGAACAAGACGTGCGGGACCATATTCCGGTACGGCGCACGGAAGCAGCCTAGCGTGGAAGCTGTCAAAATCATCACAGGCTCGGATCTGCAGGTCTACTCAGTGCGGCAGAGAGACCGGGGCCCCGATTACCGATGTTTCGTGGAGCTCGGTGTCTCCGAGACGACAATCCAGACGGTGGATGGGACAATCATCACTCAGCTGAGCTCTGGACGGTGTTATGTCCCCTCATGCCTGAAAGCTGCCACCCAAGGCGTTGTGGAAAACCAGTGCCAGCACATCAAGCTGGCAGTGAACTGCCAGGCGGAGGCCACCCCTCTGACCCTGAAGAGCTCGGTCCTGAATGCAATGCAGGCCTCCCCAGAAACCAAACAGACCATCTGGCAGCTAGCCACTGAGCCCACAGGTCCCCTGGTACAAAGAATTACTAAAAATATCTTGGTGGTGAAATGCAAGGCAAGCCAGAAGCATAGTTTGGGGTATTTACATACGTCTTTTGTGCAGAAAATCAGTGCCAAAAGCTTACCCGAGCGCCGCTTCTTCTGCTCCTGCCAGACTCTGAAGTCACACAAGTCAAACGCCTCCAAGGACGAGGGAGCCCAGAGATGCATTCATTTCTTTGCCTGTATCTGTGCCTTTGCCAGTGATGAGACATTGGCTCAGGAATTCTCAGACTTCTTAAATTTTGATTCCAGCGGTAGGTGGTATGGTTAACATGGTTATTATGTTTATCTAAAATGGCAGAAAAGAGTTCCACTTACGCATTTGGAGATTGTCCTGGCAACCTTCGGAAGCAGTTGCTAGATAATTCAGATGAAAAGCATTCCTCTCCCTAATCCCAGTGAGCACACTTGCATAAAGGTTGGTTGGTTGGTTGAAATGAATGCTCAGCACTTGGGTTGGGCCAGCCCATGGCGTGGTGGTTAATGAACCTAGATCCCTCACGGTCAATTGCACTTTTCGAGTCTCAGACCTGGTGGTTTGAGAAATACATCATGCACATGTGTGTGCATGCCCACATTCCTGAAAGGAGGAAGAAATGGAAAAGGGATTGTAGCATGATTGTCCCCCATAGGGGGGGGGTGCTTTCTCACTTTCCCTCTCTCTGTACATATCTCTTTCTCTCTCAGGTGAGCACATTCACCCTCTGGCAAACTTAAAAGAAAGAGAGAGAGACTTGAGTGTTTTTATTGAGATAATGGATTTTACCAAAATTAGCTTTGCTTTTTTTAACTCTTCCATTAGATATCCTATGTTAATAAAAACAAATAATTTTTTAAATTTTTATTGTTTGTTTTTTATTTGTTTTATTGTTTAATTTTTTAAAAAAGGTTTTTTGCCGTAGGACATGTGCACTTACCAGAGACAGGGAGAGAGAAACACAGTGAGAAATCACCACCAGGGGTAGCCACGCCGCAGTCCCTTCTCCTCCATTCTGTTCCCGTGCTCCTAGGCATGCACACACATGAGCCTAGTGTGATTTTCTTTCTTTTTCTTTTTTACATTTTTGCTATAGCGTGCATGTGTTTGCTAGAGAGACACAGAGAGAAAGTGACAAATCACTGCTCAGAGAGGATGTGTTTGCTAGAGAGTGGTCACTTTGCAATCCCTTCTCCATTCTCCTTTTAGAATTTTGGGCATGCATGCACACAGGCTCAACTTGAGTTTCAGGCTGCCAGGTCCAGGACTTAAACTGTGTTCGGCCATGTGGGAGTTCAACACCGTAACCACACCACCTGCTAGCCCCTGTTTTCTTATTTTTAAAGTTGAGAAAAACTAGTACCCTGTTCAAAATATTTAAAAGTTTCTTTATTCAGGCCAGTAGGTGGCATGGTAGTTGGGGTGCTGAATTCCCACATGGCCAACCATGGTTCAAGACCCAGACTCGATGTCTTGAAAGTCATATCAAATAAATAGATACATAAATAAGTATTTTTTCTCCTAAGTTTCTTAATTGGTGGCATGGTGGTTAAGGTGCTGGACTCATATGGCTGACCACAGCGCATGCCCAGAATCCCAGGAGGAGAATGAAGAAGGAATTACAGCATGCCCATCCCCCTAGGAGGTGATTTTTCACTTTCCCTCCCTTTCTCTGATGACTACTTGCACCCTATGGCAAAAAACTAATAAAAAGAAGTAGAGTTTCTTCATCAAGTATTTAGTTATCATTGACATACTACTATATTGTAGACACTTTTTTATTCCAACTTCTTAATGATTTTTAGCTGGCAGCAGCTCCCAACTTTTTAGTTTTACATTTCTCTACAGAGCCTTCTATCATTAATGGTCTGTGGAGAAAAACAGCATTTAGGGAGTTCATTAAAGGAACTTTCTTTGAAAGAGAGATTTTTGCTATAGGGTTCGTGCACTCATAAGAGAGACAGAGAGACAGAAAACAAAATCGTCCCCCAGGGGTATGGCCACACTGCAATCCCTTCTCTTCCATTCTCCTTTCAGGATATTGAGCACACGTGTGTGAAGCCACTGGGTCTGGGACTCAAACCATTGTTGACCCTGTGAGAGTCCAGTGACATAACCATTATACCATCTGCTAGTTCTGAAAGGAACTTAATTTAAAGCAGGTAATCTGCATAACTTTTGGGGGGCTTTTAGATTTTTTAATTAAATTTTTTTTATCATTATTATTTTTAAAATTTTTCTATACGGCATGTACACTCACCAGAAAGAAAGTAAAAAAGCAAGCTGCCAGGTCTGGGACTCAAACTACAGTACACCATGTGGGAGTCTAATGCCTTAACCACATACCACCTGGCTTTTTATTTTGTAAGAATTATTTTATTTAACTTTATTTATCTATTCATTTATTTATTTTCATTTGATCAGAGAGGGATCGATTGAGAGAGAAAGTGAGAAAGCAAGTGGCCAAGTCCGGGACTCTAACCATAATTGGCCATATGGGAGTCCAGTGCTCTTAACCACCATGCTACCTGGTGGCCCCACCCCGCCTTTTAGTTTTATATGAATTAAGTTTTCTCTAGACAGGGGCCCATACTTACTCTTGGATAACATTAGTAATTGAGAAATCTGTTATTTTTTAGGTCTTAAAGAGATTATTGTGCCCCAGTTAGGTTGCCATTCAGAATCAACGGTATCGACGTGCGAGTCTCCTGCCTCTAAGCCAAAAAAGAGGAAAAAAGACGAAGTATCTGGTGAGAGGCTGCTTGGGTGGTTTGGTTTGTGGTGGTGGTCTTTAGAGATTGTTTTACTCTGTTTGGTATGTTTTAATAAATCTCAGCAACTTTATTTTTAAGTTTACCTACTACTTTCAGGAGAGAGATGGAGACCCCCAACAGGGTCCTATCATATCCCAATTCTCATGTGTGTGTGCTTATAGGCGTGTCTAGCATGTTCACGTCAACCCAGGAACTGAACCCAGGGTCTTTCCATGTGGTTGCAGTGTCATGCGCTGGCACTCTACTGCCTGTGCTGCCGTGGCTGGGCCATAGTTTTTTTTGTTTTTTTTTTTTCCAAAGAATTATTTTATTTAGCTTTATTCATTTATGCTAGTTTGACCAAAGCTAGAGAGAGAGAGAGAGAGAGAGAGAGAGCAAGCCTCCAAGTCCAGGACCTGAACTGAAGATGGCCACGTGGCAGTCCAGTGCCCTTAGCTACTACACCACCTGCTGGCTCCCATAGTTTTTTGTTTGTTTTTGTTTTTGTTTTTCCTAAAAAAGTTTTTTTTTTTCTTTTTTTGGAGAGGTTTTTGCTACAGGGCATGTGCGCTCGCCAGACAGAGAGAGAGACAGAAAGCGAGAAATCACCCCCCAGGGGGGATGGCCACGCCGCAATCCCTTCTCCTACATTGTCCTCTCGGGATCTTGGGCACGCACGCACACGCGCCTGGTGTGAGTTTAAGTCACCGGGTCCAAGACACAAACCGCGGTCGACTACGTGGGAGTCCAGCGACATAGCCATTACGCTAACTGCCGATCCCCTAAAAAAGTTTTTACCCTATATTGACAATACTTTGTCAAGTAAAGCTAAGAGTTGGTTCTATTGATCATATGTAAGACCCAATCAAACTCCTCCTTTTATTATTACATTCAGGTTCATTTTGCAACTTAATCTCCCTCACTGTATCTCTCTGGCAAAACTTTTTTTAAAAACGATAAGACCAGGGGTCAGCCGGTAGCATGATGGTGGGGGCACTGGCCTCCCACATGGCTGACCATGAGCCCCGGACCTGTTGGCTTTGTTTTCTCGCTTTCTACTTCTTGCTTTCTCACTTTCTTTTTCTCTCTCATGAGTGCATGTGCCCTGTAGCAAATTAAATAATAATAATAATGATCGTGATAAATAAAATTAAATAAATAAATAATTATTTTTTGAAGACAGTGGTGAAACTGGGTCTGGCAGGTAGTGTAGTGGTTAAGATGCTGGACTCCCACATGGATAACTGCTGTTTGAGTCCCAGACGTGGCAGCTTGCTTTCTCACATTCCCTCTCTCTCATCAAATTAAAAAAAATAATAGCTATAATAACTAATAAAATTAAATAAATAATAATTTTTAAATGATGACACCATTGGCAAACATGAAATGTGGGCACTCTAGCCTGACTAGTATACTCTAAGTTCCTATAACCACTTGTAAAAGTAGCTAACAGCATCTCATATGAACCTTAAAATTGGGGCCAGCAGGTGGCATGGTGGTTAAGGTGCTGGACACTCAAACATGGCCAAGCATGGTTCAAGTCCCAGACCTAGTGTCTTGCTTTCTCACTTTCTCTCTCTCTCTCCGGACAACTTAAGATAAATGAACGAATAAATAAAATTTAAAAATTATTTAAAAAAAACACACCTTACAATTGTCCTACCCATGGGGAGTGTTATTGGAGGTAGAGCAGATGGTCATGAACACCAGTTTCATGCAGGAAAGTTGATGAAAGGTGGAGAAACAAAGTAACATGGGCATTTCCTGTTTTTAGAGAGGCAATTCTGGCAGCAGCAGAGAGCAAAGAGCCCAGCCTGGTGGCATTGCCCTTGGTGTACTGGACTGCAGTGCTGGGAGCCACATGGCTGACCATGGTTCAGATCTCCAGCCCAGGTGGCCTGGAACATGTCTGGCTTATGCATGTTCCATGAGCCTGATTTCTGAAGGCAGGGGATCATGGCATGACCAGACCCTCAACAGGGTGCTTAACTTTCTCTCTTTCTCTTTCATATGCATGTGCTCTCTACCAAAAAAAAAAAAAGACAGCAGAGGTCACTGCTAAGTGTTTACTGATTGGTCTTTCCCAAAAAGACTTAAATAAAAAATAATGCTTAGCCTTTGATTCTCTAGTCCCATTTCTAAAGCATTTTTAAAACATAAACCTTTACTTAATTTATTCATTCATTTATTTTAATTTGACCAGAGAGAGATATATATAGAGAGAGTGGGAAAGTGAGAAAGCGAGCCACCAGGTTCAGGACTCGAACCATGTGGGAATATCCAGTGCCTTGACCACTAGGCCACCTGCTGGTCCCCCGACCCTTTTAAATATAAGTCCTTATTTGACCATACTAAAGAGCATACATGCAGAAGATTGTAAAAAATGCTTATTTGACAATCACTCTTAATTGATAACTTAAGGCCAAATAAAGCTTTCCAAAACCTGATTTAGAATATATTAATTAACATTAAATTTTGAGCCAAACTGTTTGGAAGTGAATCCTTTATTTGAGACACTATATTTCTGTTGTTTTTTGTTTATGTAACTATATATTTTATATACAAATGTATATAAAAGATTACATTCTAAGATTACATTAAATTTTTAAAGAAATTATCATGGTTTTCAAAACTTTATGTATTCATTTATTTATTTATTTTTAATTTGACCAGAGAGGGACAGAGCGAGAGAGAGGGAAAGCAAGAAAGAAAGCCACCAAATCCAGAACTTGAACCATGGTGGGCCATATGGGAGTCCAGTGGTTTTAACCACCACGCCACCTGCTGGCCCCTAAATCATCTTTTTAAAGGAAATAATCTATAGTGTAAGAAAAGCATTTTATCCAGAGATGTTCATTTTATGATAATTTTTAATACTGAAAAATTAGAACTAGGGGCCAAACAGTGAGTGTAGTTAAATAAACCATGGTAAAGCCACTTGGAGTGTCAGACAGCCATTAAAAATTATTATAAAGAGGGACCAGCAGTTAGCATAATGGCTATGTCGCTGAACTCCCATGTAGTCGACTGCGGTTCAAGTCCCAGACCTGGTGGCTTAAATTTACACCGGCGCGTGTGCATGTGTGCCCAAGTCCCGAGAGGAGAATGGAGGAGAAGGGATTGCGGCATGGCCATCCCCCTTGGGGGGTGATTTCTCACTTTCTGTCTCTCTGTCTCTCTCTGTCTTTCTGGCGAGTGCACGCATCCTATAGCAAAAACTTCTCCAAAAAAGAAAAATTTTTTTATAAAGAACTTGGGGAACCAGCAGATGGTGTAATGGTTATGTTGCTGGACTCCAATGTAGTCAACTGTGGTTTGAGTCCTAGACCTAGCAGCTTAAAACTCATGCCAGGTGCATGTCCATGCACGCCCAAAATCCTGAGAAAAGAATGATGGAGGGTAGGGATTGCGGCATGGCCATCCCCCAGGGGGTGATTTCTCACTTTCTGTCTCTCTATCTCTGTGTCTCTCCAGCAAGCACATATGCCCTATAGCAAAAATCTCTCTCTTAAAAAAAAAAATGGGGAGTCCAACAGATTGCCTGGTGGTTAAGGCTCTGGACTCCCACATGGCTGACCATGGTTTGAGCCCTGGACCTGGTGACTTGCTTTTTCACTTCCTCTCCCTCTCTCTCTGGTCACTCTCTCTGGTCAGATTAAAATAATAATAATAATTATTATTATTATGGGGGCCAGCAAGTTCAGGGTAGATAAGGGTGCTGGATTCCCACATGGCTGACTGTGGTTCAAGTCTTGGACCTGGTGGCTTGCTTTCTCACTTTGTCTCTCTCACTCTGTCCCTCTCTGGTTAAATCAAAATAAATAAATTAATAAATAAGCAAAAGTTAAATGAAATATTCTTTAAAAAAAAAAATAATAGGGCCAGCAAAGTATTTGGGAAAATGTTTCGATCCTCAGATAGCCAGATAAAGTACAGAATGCTTAGTCAAACTTGATTTTCTGGGGCCAGCAGGTGATGTGGTGGTTAAGGCACTGGATTCCCACATGGTCAACCATGGTTCAAGTCCTGGACTTGGTGACTTGCTTTCTCACTTTCTCTCTTTCTCTCTCTCTCTATCTCTGTTCAAATTAAAAGATAAATAATAATAACAAAATAAAATTAAATAGGGACCAGCAGATGACATAATGGCTGTGTCGCTGGACTCCCACATAGTCGACCACAGTTCAAGTCCCGGACCCAGCAGCTTAAACTCACGCTAGGTGAGTATGCATGCATGCCTAAAATCCTAAGAAGAGAATGGAGGAAAAGGGATTGTAGCATGGCCATTCTGGCGAGTGCACACACCCTATAGCAAAAGTCCCTCTCTGGGGAAAAATAAATTAAATTAAATTAATAAATCTTTTAAGAAAGAAAACCTTGATTTTCAAATAAATAATACATAAGTTTTAGTGTAACTATCTCCTATGCATATTTGGAATATACTTACACTAAAAAATTGCCTGTTGGCCAGCTGTAGTGCCCCAATGACACTGCAACATTATATAATGCTGGGGCCATATGGAAAGATTCTGGGTGCCCATCCCACAGTCTCTCTGTACAATTGCACAAGTGTACAATTCCCATGATCCTGGCTGGCTGAAGCTGATGGTGGATTGGGACATGAAGACACTGTTGGGAATATCTAACTCCCTCTCCCTCTACTCCTCTCTGTCTTTGTCTCTTATTGAAGAAATAAATACATTTTAAAAAGTTATTTGTTAGGGCTGACAGGTGGTATAGTGATTAAGGTGCTTGACTATCACAAAGCCTACCACAGTTTAAGTCCTGGACCTGGCAGCTTGCTTTTTCAGTTTCCCTCTCTCTCTTTCACTCTCTCTCTTGTGAGTGCACATATGCCCAATAGCAAATGAAAATAATAATAATAAATAAAATTAAATAATTATTTAAATAAAGAAAATTACAGGAGAGAGCAGATGGTGTTGTAGTTAGGGTGCTGGACTCCCACATGACAAATCACGGGTCAAGTCCCAGACCTGGCAGTTTGCCTTCTCACTTTCCTTTTCTCTTGCTCTCTCTCCTTCTCTGGTCAAAGAAAAAATTAGTAATAACAGATACAATTAAATAAACAATTATGGGACCAGCAGTTGGTGTAATGGCTATATCACTGCACTCCCGTGCAGTCGACCGTGGTTTGAGTCCTGGACCCAGTGACTTAAACTCACGCTGGGTGCATGTGCATGCATGCCCAAGATCCCAAGAGAAGAAAGGAGGAGAAAGGATTGCAATGTGGCCATTCCTCCTGAGAGTGATTTCTCGCTTTCTATCTTCCTGGTGAGCACATGCGCCCTATAGCAAAATCCTCTAAAAAAAAAAAATTGTAAAAAAATAAAGGAAACAAAAATGACAAAACGAGCACAGCCACAGTGGCACAAGGTGAAGGGCACACTTGTGTAACATCGGCTGCCTGGAAGGGCCGGGTTTGGAACACAGTCCAAGCTAAACAGCCTGGTGCAATGGCGTGAACCTGTAGCCCTAGCTAATGGGAGGCTGGGACAGAGGGTCCCAACAGCAAGACTCTAGTGAAAATACATTCTCTCTGCCTCCCTCCTCTACCTGACTCCCTTCTCTCTCATAGCAACAGAAGATTACAAAACAGTCTGTTTACAAAGAGGAAATGGAAAACACCACACCAAAATCTTAATCGTGATTATCTGAGAGATGAGCACATGGATGATGTTGTTTTTCTTTCAGTTCAGTTTTTTCTCAACTTTCTAGAAAAAAGAAAGTTAATTTTTAAAAATATTTATTTATTTTATTTTATTTGTTGTTACTGTTGCTATTATTTTTTAAATTTTACTAGAGAGAAAAAGAAATGGAAAGTGAGAATGCAGGTCACCAGATCCGAGTTTGAACTGTGGTTGGTCATATGGGAGTCCAGCGCCCTCACCACCATATCACCTGCCTGCCCCAGAAGTTAAAATTTTATATATAGGGACCGGCAGGTGGCATGGTGGTTAAGGGTGCTGGACTCCCACAGGCTGACCATAGCTCGAGTCCCAGACCTGGCAGCTTGCTTTCTCGCTTTCTCTCTCTCTCTCACTCTTCCTTTCTGGTCAAATTAAAATAAATAAATAAGCAAATGGATAAATAAAGTTAAAAAAATTATATATAAAGGCTACTACTAATTTCTTCTAGAAACTGTGAAGCTAACCTAAAAATTAGCGAACATTTAATATATTTTTAATTTATTATTATTTTTATTTACTATTGGGCATATGCATTCACTAAAGAGAGACAGAGAGAGAAAGCGAGGGCATACGCCCAAGGGAGATGACCACACCACAGTCCCTTCTCCTTTCTCTTCAGGATTTTGGGGATGCACATACATGTGCCTGGCATGTTTTTCAAGCTGCTGGGTCTGGGACTGTAACCATGCCATTGGCTATGTGGGATCCAGCTGTCTTAACCACTATGCCACTTTGCTTGCTGTATGTATGTATGTATGTATGTATGTATGTATGTATGTATGTATTTTATGCCACAGGACATATGTACTTACTGGAAAGAGACAGAGAAAAGAGGAAAGTGAGAAATCACCCTCTGGGGACATGGCCACACTACAATCCCTTCTCCACTATTCTCCTCCCAGGATTTTTAGGCACCCATGCACACACACTCGAGCTGCCAGGTCCAAGACTTGAACTGTGGTTGACCATGTGGGAATGCAGCGCCTTAATGACCATGCCATCTGCTGGCCCCTCTATTTATTTTTAAAAAGTTTACTTATCCATTTCCTCCACAAGACAGAGAGAGAGGGAGAGACAGGACCCTTAACTAGCACTCTCTGCTGTGATCCTCTCCCAGCCTCAGCCCAGGTCACGACACACTTGCACATTCGGTTTGTACAAGGAGGCCTCCAGATGCAAACCAAGACCCTTCACATGTGTGTCTGGGTGCATTACTGCTGTGTCATTTCTGATCCTAGTTGTATGTTTTAGACTCTTTAGAAATAAGTGTTGAATCCGTTATTCTGCACACATGTTATTGAATACCGTAATGATTTCTGCTTTAGGTGTACAGATGAGCAACTCACTACTGCCTCAAGATGCAGTGAGCAGCAATCTGAGGAAAAGTGGCCTGAAAAAGCCTGTGGTTGCTTCTTCAATAAAAAGGCAGGGTAAGTTTCCCTTCCTTAGAATAGGCTGGTGGAAAGTCATCATAAAGAAACCAGAAGTAGTTCAAAAGAAACGTCGCATGTTGTCCCCAAAAAGTGCTAACATAAACACTAGCCGGCATGGAGGCTGAAGCCTTTCTCCTGTCCCATCAACTTCAAAACATTCTCAGAACTAAATTATGTCTAAAATCATAGAGACAGACAACAGATTAGTGGTGGCTAGGGGTTAGGGTGGGATGTGGGAGAGACCTAACGGCTATAAAAGGCTAGTGCCCGGGAGTCTCGGAGGGGACTTGATGGCAGTGGTGGTCACACAAGTCTACACGTGGTAAAATTGTGTAGTGCCACGTGAACACACACAGTGTGCTAGAGCATGTGAATCTGGTGAGACTGGAATAAGGTCACTGGATTAGACCCTTTTTTTGTTGTTTATTTTTTGTTTTTGAGAGAGAGATTTTTCTATAGAGTGTGTATACTCACCAGCGAGCGAGAGAGAAACAGAAAGAAAGCAAGAAATCACCTCCCAGGGGATGACCACGCTGCAATTACTTCTCTTCCATTCTCCTCTTGGCATCTTGGGCACACATGCACACGCACCCTGTGTGAGTTTTAAGCTACTGGGTCTAGAAATTGAACCACATCGACTCTGTGGGAGACCAGCAGCATAACAGTTACACCATCTGCTGGCCCCCAAGTTTTGTATTTCTTATGACTGCATGTGAATATACCATTTTCTCAAAACTTTTTTTTTTTTAAAGAATTAATTTGGGGGCTGGCAGGTAGTCTGGTGGTTAGGATGCTGGACTCCCACATAGCTGACTGCAGTCTAGTATAGGACCTGGAAGCTTG